AGACAGGCTGCTGGCTGGGCTCTTCAGACAGGGGAGTGTCCAGCAGGCCGGGCAGGGTGCGGCTGTGTTGGCAGGGCAGAGAAATGGGGCCTGCTTGCTGCGTGTAGGAGAAGACGCCCAAGTCCTTGGGCCCCTGCACCTGCGTGGGAGACCTGGAAGAAGCTCCTTGCTGCTGGCCTCTGATTGGTGCAGCTCCGGCCCTTGCGGCCACCTGGGGAGTGAAGGAGCGGACACAAGACCTCTCCTTCCCTCTCCCTCCCTCCCTCCCTCCCTCCCTCCCTCCCTCCCTTCCTCTCTCTCTCTGCCTCTGCCTCTCTGTAACTCTGCCTTTCAAATTAACAAATAAATATTTTTTAAGAAATGGGAAAATGTCTCCACCCTCGAGTTTGTAATCAGGACACCTGCTGCCTACGGTGCCCAGAAGCCCACGGGGTAGGGAGGAGGGTTCCAGTGGGCCGAGCGCGGATCACCCGCCTTTGCTCCGCCTTCCACGCCTGTAACCTGCATCTGTAGTCACCAGAACAGCTGCAGGGAGAGCCTGCTAGAACCGGGACTGCTGCCTGGAGCGAATGATACTGTTGCTGCTTTGCGCCCGTGCAAGGAAAGAAACAGTTGCCTTGCACCGCCTCACCTTGACCATGTCCTGTGTGCACCGCCTCACCTTGACCATGTCCTGTGGGCCTGAATTCGAAAATGTGCCCCCATGATAAGAACCATAAATCGGGTGTTTCAAGTAAGAGTTTGGAGGGAGGGCACCAGTCCTGGCCGCCACTCGGGCTGGTGACTGAGCACTGAAGGAATAAAGGGGCACAGTGGGGGGAGGGATACAAATCCTCCCCAGTGAGCTACCTCTGAGGTATAGACTGCACTAGAACGCTGAGGGAGGTGGACCCAGAAGAGGGAGGGGCCTGCAGAGGAGGGAGGAGACCTGCAGCACAAAGGAGCATCCAGGGACCAGGGTGTGGTGAGACCAGCAGAAAAAGAGAGGGAGATCTCCCAGGGCCTGGGGTAAAGTAAGGGCTCACTGGGGCACTGAGGCTCAGAGCCCGTGGCCTTGCTCCACCCCGTGCCCAGTCTTGAAATGCTGCTCCGTGCCCAGCACCCTTCCAGACTGTGCGAGTCTAGTGTCCAGCCAAGAGACATCAGGAAGCACTAGGATGCTCCATGGCCAGGATCCGTCAGTCATCTCAAGGCCTTCTCCCAGTCCCTCGCAAAGGGCTGGTCCTGCAAGGAAAGAGATAGAACAGAGTCTCAGCTCTGGGGGACTGGTCCAGCCCAGGTCAGCAAGCCCGTGCCCTGAGTCTTAAGGCTGGCAGCTATGGTGACCACTCTTAACTGACAGGGACCTGGTGAGAGAGAGACAGAGAGGGGAGAGAGAGGGAGAGGGGAAAGAAGGAGAGATGGGGAGAAGGGGTGGAATGAGAAGGCCATGCCAAGATAGCCACTAGCAAGCAAGCATCAGTTACTCAGGAGTGGCTTCGGAAATCCACTGAGAAACCATCTGGCAACAGAGCCTGCCTGGCAACAGGCTGTGATTGGTTAGGGTATAGATCGCCCCTTGACCAGATTGGCTGCCTTGGCTATATAACCTACTGCACCAACTGAAATAAAGGAGTCTGCGGGCTGCTCGCCTCTGGCCCACTTTCAGCCAACTCCTGGGGTCTGTGTGGTGGCTCCGTGCTTCTTGCCCCACCACACTCCTCCTCTCAGAATGAATCCACAGCAACAGGGAGAAGGGTTGAAGGCGGAGGGGAGAGGGAGAGAGAGAAGCAATGGGTGAGAGAGGCTCTCTGAAAAACAGAGGCGGGAGCAGTCTGCTTGCTCAGCCGTCTGCCCAGGCGATCTGATGCTGCTCAGAGTCAGATCTGAGTTGAATCCTGGCCATGGCACCAAGCTGTTGCGGGAGAGTGAAGACAAGTCCCCTCTCAGTTCCCATCTCACGGCTGGAGAGGAATTCCCAAGCAGACAAGGAGAGCGAGCAAAGTCGGTCTATTGCAAGTGAGGAGCCTCCTGTCACAGCAGCCAGGAGGGAGGCTCCCAGGGCGCTGGCTCTTTTATACACAAAGTGGCCCACTCTGGTCTCCTTCTGAAAACCAGACCCAGATTTAACCAATCAGAGGAGGAGCAGAATAACAGCTAATTGAAGAACCTTAAAAATCAAACCAAGATGGAGTGACTTAAGCCAATACCATTAAAAACAAGAAGTCACCTTTGCCCCAAATAAAAATTAAAGTTTAAAATTACAGCCCTAAACTTTTTCCCCCAAAGCTAAAATTAGGTGCAGCTATAAAATAAGGGACCCTATGCTTAGCTAGCTGTGACACTTGTGCCTGGCTGTGCTAAGACCTAACCCAGTTTGTATACCTCCTAATACTCAAATAACGGTGTGGGAAGCGGGACGCCGCTCTCCCACAAGGGGAACAAAGGGAGCGAGATGTCGCCCCCCTCAGGGTGAACAAGATGGTGCTGGCAGGGAAAGGAACTACTAAAGAAGTAAACAACAAAGTGGCGATGAGGTGCATGCCTCCCGTGTGATCTCGTAGCTGATTGGATAGAAGACGCACGCCCTTCACATGATCAGCTCACGGATTGGACTGCTGTGTGCATGGACTCTATAGTGCTTTTGATTGGTCGCTGCGGGTATATAAACCGTGTGGCTTGTACTGGGGGTGTACTGCTGAGTTCAGGAGGCCCGTCTGCGCAGACGCCGAATAAGTCCTCTTGCTTTTGCATCAGCTGGTCTGGAGTCTGAGTCTCTGGGGTGTGCCTCTCAACGTGTTACCATCCTCACTCCGAGGGTCTAACGCTAATCAGAAGACAGGGATTACAATCCAGTGTAGCCTTCATAAAACTCAGTGCAGTTAGTGGACTGAACTGTTTTCCGATTGACCTAACTGCCGGTCAGCCCGTCTAACTCCTCACCACGATTCTCAGCCCAGAGCAGTTGAAGGACCACTGGCCCAGGCCCAGAGGGGCACTCGGTGTGCACAGAAGCTACCATGATACCAGGCTCTGTGGAAGTTGGCTGCTGAGCAGGGGCACACCATGGGTCTTCATGGCTGGCGTACATTCCTAAAGCTGTACCTATGAAAAGTGCATTCATTAAATAAAAGCTTTAAAAGAAAAAAAGAATTCCATGGGGATTCTTAAGGGACTGACCGAGGCTGGGTGGGTGACCCCCTTCTTGGGCTGGAGGCAGGCAAGAGGTTGTTGGGAAATCTAGCAATCAGAATAATTAGTTACCAGTTACCATTTGAAATCCACTCCGGTTCTCTCTCTCAAAATTTATTTATTTATTTGCGAGGCGGAGTTATAGACAGAAAGACAGAGAGACAGAGAAAGAGGTCTTCCATCCACTGGTTCACTTCCCAAATGGCTGCAACGGCCGGAGCTGGAAGCTTCTTCCAGGTCTCCCACGTGGGTGCAGGCACCCAAGCACTTGGGCCATCATCCACTGCTTTCCCAGGCCATCAGCAGAGAACTGGATCAGAAGTAGAGCAGCCAGGACACGAACCAGCATCCCTATGGAATGCTGGCACCATAGGTGGAGGCATAGCCAACTGTACCATAGCGCCGGCATTGCTTCCACCCCTGCCCCTCTTTTTGGGTTGCCTTAGTGGAAGTTGATTTTCTGGGAAAGCATTCTTCCATGTAGGAAAAACCAAGAGATTATGAATCATAGATCAGGAGAAGAACAACCACACGAAATCCGACTGCAGGACCACAATTCTACAGAAGCAGAGATGTCAGCATATGGACTACCAACCCCCCTCCACCCTCCCTGCCTCAGCCCAATGCCATGGCCAGGGGCCACGCCCTTACCTGTCACAGACCCTGGAGATGGGGGATGAGTGGCACTGGGAGCTGACACCCAGGACTCTCAGCCGCACAACAAGTCTCGGGTGACCGACTGACTCAGGACAGCAGAGCTCAAAGCAGGGCCAGTAGCGGCAGTGGGGGCCACAGAGGCGGGTCCGGTTCAGGGGCAGGATGGTGTCGTCGTCACAGCACTGCTCCAGGGGGTTGTAGGCCTGGTCCCCGCACCTGGGCGCCGGCTGGCACAGCCACAGACCGTCAGGCCCTGCAAAGCCAGAGCTGGGTGGGCTCCAGGGTTGTGTCCAGGACCAGCCCCAGCTCCGTGATGCTGCCTCCTCCCGCCTCATGCACCTGCTCTCACCTGGGACTCCTTCCGAGAGCGAGCCCAGGAGGGCAGAGAGGAAGACGGCAGCTGTGAAGCAGAGGGGATGAGGACGGTGCTGGGACACCTGGTCCAGGCCCCAGTGACGGCACGGAGCTCCCTGCTCACGGATGCCGCTCAGAGTGGGTCAGGGTCCTGGGGTGTGGGTGGGCAGGGGGGACACACAGGGAGGCTCCGGGAGGAGTTAAGGTTCTGAGGCTGCAGGTGCGAGGGAGGTGGCAAAGCATCAGAGAGGACCAGGGTGATACGAGGAGGGAGACAAGAACTGCTTAGGGGAGAGAGAGTCAGGCTGGCGCCGTGCAGGGGTTAAGCTGCCACCTGAGACAGCGGCATCATGCACGGGTCCTGGTCTGAGTCCCAGCTGCTCCACGTCTGATGCACCGAGCACTCCGGGCACCATGCTTGTGAGCCGGCTGCAGGGCAGTGGGTGGCGGAGCAGCTGCACCTCTGGTTCGGGACCTGGCTCTGTGGTTTATATGGGAGCCCAGGGACCTGCCAATCATGTGGCAACACAGGCAGCAGGGCCTGGGAGGGTGGGGACGGCACAGACAGCAGTCATTGAGTAACAGCTCCTGAATCTGGCCCAGGAGGCAGCCGCCTTCTCACACCCTCCGCCCTGAGAGCCTTTTCTGGGCACAGCTGAGGGGGCGCCCAGCTGGGAGAGACACCTGGGCCCTCCTTCCCCTGAAGGCACCCTCCCTCCCCAAACACTGGCTGTTTCCAGGCTCCCCACATGCCTTATCCCAGAGGTTTCAAGGCCCCCCTCCATGTCCACTCCTGCAGGGCTCCTGCTTCTGCAGAGTCAGGTGTGGGAGACCACGAAGGTGCAGCAGGATCGGGGGCTCCTCCGGGGCTGCAGACTCTCCACCAGGGAGTCGCCAGGGACAGAGTCACGGGGGACCCTGGGGTCCACGGTGCCTTTTTCTTTTTGCTCTAAGGTTTGTTTTTTTTTTTTTTTTTTTTTTGACAGACAGAGTGGACAGAAGAGAGAGAGAGAGAGACAAAGAGAAAGGTCTTCCTTTGCCGTTGGTTCACCCTCCAATGGCCGCCACGGCTGGTGCGCTGCGGCCGGTGCACCGTGCTGATCCGATGGCAGGAGCCAGGTGCTTCTCCTGGTCTCCCATGGGGTGCAGGGCCCAAGCACTTGGGCCATCCTCCACTGCACTCCCTGGCCACAGCAGAGAGCTGGCCTGCAAGAGGGGCACCCGGGACAGAATCCGGCACCCCAACCGGGACTAGAACCCGGTGTGCCGGCGCCGCAAGGCGGAGGATTAGTCTAGTGAGCCGCGGTGCTGGCCGCTCTAAGGGTCTTTAACAAGACAACTGTTACCCCGTGTTTGTCATTGCTGTCTGCCCGTCAGCATCACTCCGTCCGTGTGAGTGCAACGCCTGTGGGGTTCTCAGAGGCCGCCCCTCTGTGTTCCGGGGCTCCCCAGGGAGGCTGACACAGCACTGGGGCAGAGGCCTTAGGGGGCATCGCCAGCGGCAGGGACTCTCCTGTCCCGGGTCAGAGGAGGAGACTCCACCTGCAGGGTCTGACGCCTGCGTACAGAGCCGCCCGCTCCCTCCTCTGCGGGTGTCAAGTCGGTGCCTCTGCTTCCCCTGCACCCTAACAGGAGTCCCCTGGTCGCCGGACGTCCCCAGCTGACAGAGCAGCTGCCGGGAAGTCAGGCCTGCGAGAGCCACGGTCCCAGATGCATTCGCCCGATGACTCCTAGGAGCCCTGCGCCTGCACCAGGGAGCTCCTGACCACGGATGGAGACGTCCCCCCGGGGAGGGGCAGGTAGGTCACACGGGCGGAGGAAATCGCAAAGGTGGTTCCTGGACTTCCTCTGTGCCTCCCTGGACTGTGTGCAGGAAATCCACGGAGCCTGCGGACACGGAGCAGCCAGGCTGAGCAGTCATCCCTGAGCACAGAGCCCGTGTGGCCCAGGCCGTTTGTGACCTAACAGAGAAGGAAGACCAGGCCCAAGGCCGACCCCGTGGGCCTCACACGGAGTTCCGCTAGACAAATGCAGCCAGAATGCCGGGCAAGAATAACCGGACACAGGGCCGGTGCTTTGGGACAGTGGGTGAAACCGCCACCTGCAGTGCCAGCAGCCTTTGTGGGTGCTGGTTCAAGTCCTGGCTGCTCCACTTCCAGTCCAACTTCCTGATAATGTTCCTGGGAAAGCAGAGTGTGTTCCAACTGCTTGGGCCCCTGCACTCATGTGGGAGACCTGGAGGAAGCTCCTGGTTCTGGTCCAGCTCTGACCATTGCAGCCATTTGGGAAGTAAACCAGCAGATGGATTTTCTCTCTCTCTCTCTCTCTCTCTCTCTCTCTGTAATTCTGCCTTTCAAATAAATAAATAAATCTTTTTTTAAAAAATGGGATACAATTTATTTTTTTAAAGATTTATTTGTTTGAAAGTCAGAGTTACACAGAGAGAGGAGAGGCAGAGAGAGAGAGAGAGAGAGAGAGAGAGAGGTCTTCCACCTGCTGGTTCACTCTCCAGATGGCTCCAACAACCAGAGCTGCAACGATCCAAACCCAAGAGCCAGGAGCTTCTTCCAGGTCTCCCCAAGAGTGCAGGGTCCCAAGGACTTGGGCCATCTTCTACTGCTTTCCCAGGCCACAGCAGAGAGCAGGACTGGAAGTGGAGCAGCCGGGACTCGAGCCAGTGCCCATATAGGATGCCGGCCCTGCAGGCAACGGCTTTACCCACTATGCCACAGCGCCAGTCCCTCCCTCCTCTCTTCTCCCTCTCTTACAATCTGCATTCGTGGTGAGGTGATTGTTTCCTCTCTGATGGACTTTGATTCTTTGCCTGTTGCTTTTGGGGAAAGTCTGCTGCACGCTCTTGCTCTGTGCCTACCAGGAGGCTGACAGAAAGACTTGTTTTGGCGATAACAAGCTACCTTGAAATGACAACAGCTGGACATGGATTGTAAAGATTAGGAGGGAGATAAAAAACAGAAATCCTAGGAAAGAGCTCTGCACCTCTGCCCCATTCCCCTCTACGTTTTGAATTTTTGATGTTATATTTAACATTTTTTGTGTGTTTATTTGAAAGACAGAGTTACAGACAGAAAGGGAGAGACAGACAAAGAAAAAAATACCTTCCCTTCACTGGTTCACTCCCGAAATGGCCACAATAGCCCGGGCTGGGCCAGGCTGAAGCCAGGAGCCTGGAATTATTTCATCTGGGTCTCCCACGTGGGTGCAGGGGCCCAAGCACTTGGGTCATCTCTTGCTGACTTCCCAGGTGCATTAGCAGGGAGCTGGATCAGAAGTGGAGCAGCCAGGACTCCAACAGACGCTGATATGGGAGGCCAGCGTCCCAGGCAGTGGCTTAACCCCCTGCGCCACAGCACGGGCCCCTCCTCCTACAACACTGCCTGTCCCTTACATCGCGATGTGGGCACCATCACTCCTCAGCCATCACAGTAAAGATGCACACGGGAAGGTGTACCCTGCCTGCAGCCTGGGAGCACTCGGAGCTGCTTGCACAGCGACGCCGCCAGTGAGTTTTCTGCCTTCCGATGTCTTCTGTTTAACCCCTGATTTCTCTCTGCCTGGAAGTGCTGGGGTGGGGTGGGGGCTTCATCTGAGCTGCCTCCACCTGGCATTGTTTACAAGGAGGCGACGGGGACAGGACACTTGGTGTGACTCTGTCATGTTCATTTCTGCGTCTTGGGCGGGACTCACACTCTCATCCCATGCACACTGCGCACCTCCCTGAAATACTGGGCTGGTCACTTCTTTCCTTGGGGAGTTGTAGCCCTGACCCCACACACAACTCACCCTAGGGCTCAGGTTGCCCTACCCAGCGGGGGACAGGACCCTCCAGACCAAAGTGGCCAACCAGATCCTTCCTGGCACTGGTTGGTAGATGTGTACCTGCCAACCCAGACACTGTAGGTTAATGCCTCCTTCCTTGTAGGCTTTGGTGAAAAATTGGGGGCACCCTCGGGATTTAAGGGGCTGGAGGAGGCTGGTGGTGACTGGAGACAGTGCTCCTGTCTCATCTTCTCCCTGCAGGAACGGGAGAGGAGTACACCAGGCAGAATTAATTGCAAAGCACCCTTTTGCAATTCCCCCATGGGTAAATGGATTTATTCATTTATTTATTTTTGACTTTTATTTAATAAATATAATTTTTGAAAGTACAACTTCTGGATTATAGAAGTTTTTCCCCCCATAACCACCCTCTCACCTGCAAACCATCCCATCTCCTACTCCTTCTCCCATGCCATTCTTCATTAAAATTCATTTTTAATTATCTTTGTATACAGAAGATCATCTTAGTGTATACTAAGATTTCAACAGTTTGCACCCACACAGACACACAAAGTATAAAGTACTGTTTGAATACTAGTTTTACCGTTAATTCGCATAGTACAACACATTAAGGGCAGAGATCCTACATGGAGAGTAAGTGCCCAGTGACTCCCGTTGTTGATTTAACAACTGACACTCTTATTTATGACGTCAGTAATTGCCCGAGGCTCTTAAGATGCCAAGGGATGAGGACGGCACTGGGACTCCTGGTCCAGGCCCCAGGCGACGGCATGGAGCTCCCTGCTCACGGACGCCGCTCAGAGTGGGTCAGGGTCCTGGGGTGTGGGCGGGCAGGGCGGACACGCAGGGAGGCTCCGGGAGGAGTTAAGGTTCTGAGGCTGCAGGTGCGAGGGAGGTGGCAAAGCAGTCAGAGATTACAAGGAGGGAGACAAGAACTGCGTAGGGAAGGGAGAGTCAGGCTGGCGTTGTGTAGAAAGTTATTCACCACCTTTGATGATTTGAGTCCCAGCTGCTCCACTTCTGGTCCAGCTCCCCGCTAATGCACATGGGGAAGCAGCAGAAGATGGTCCAAGAGCTTGGACCCCTGCATTCATATGGGAGACCCGGTTGGAATCCCTGACTCCTGGCCTTTGCCCAACCCAGTTCCTGCCATTGGAGCCATTTGGGGAGTGAACCAGCAGATGGAAGATCCCTCCCTCCCTCCCTCCCTCCCTTCCTTCCTTCCTCCCTTCCTTCCTCCCCCCCACT